AGATGTTGTAGAGGCAGTAAATTTAAGCGAGTTTAAGAAAAAGCTTGATCAGTATATGAATGAAAAGGGCTGAGTTTAATAATTTTAATTTAGTTTTGAGGATGGAACAGCCGAGATGGACCAATAGGTCCCATGTTATCTCAAAATATTATGTTATATGTTAGCTTTTTCTTATATCTTAGCAATAGTGTATTTGAATTGTTGTGAAACTATTGTTGAATCTATTGAAATTGCCATCATGTGTATGCATTCATATGTGAATATATATATATATATATAGTTTTTGTGATTTTCAAAAGTAATTAAGAATTATTTTTGCTATTATGTTAGAGGCCTTTTGTTGTCCACCAGCTGTTTGTTGAGTTAAAAAAAAAATCTTTTTTTTTTCACAACTATTTTCAACTAGTAATTTTATTATTTCGAACTTCTATGTAGGAATTTGAAAGCCAAGAGGAAAAGAAAAGAATGTAAGTGTACATATAAAACAATAATTTTTTATATGATCTGTAAATGATTGTGGTATTGATTTCATAGGAATTTGGTTTTATGTTTCTTTCAAAAGCATTGTTACACAGGTAGCTGTATTGTATAGTACATGCACATTATCTTAGATTTTTGTGCTAATTAGGTTCAGAATATACATATAAGAAACAAGGACAGTCATAAAGCCAAGATAGCCATTTAAGTAACCAGTTAATCACCAAAAAATAGATGCATCTTTTCTGCTTGTAAATTAATTTAAGAAAGTATAATAAAAAATACATTTAATAACACTCGCTTTATTCTATAACAAATCATTCCACAAATGATATGTGCACAAAAAAAGTAACTTCCATTATTAATACAGATTTATGCTTATGTTAATAGCAAAAAAAAAAAGATAGAGAGAAAGAAAATATAAAATCTCTAAGAGATGTAGATAGGAACTTTATTGTTAAGGAGAAATATATGGATATGTAGCACATGTATTAAACAACTTTTCTCTTGTTTTTTTACCAATGACAATGAGATGCCTAAGCTGATTTTTTTTTTTTTTGGTACAGTAAAGATTTTTCAAAGCTAAGCATAGTTACCAAACCTCTTCACACAGTTAAGCTATCTTCCCTGTGCATCTGCTTTAGAGATTTGTGTGCCATTAGCCTTGAGGCAACTCCCACCTAATCTCATGAGGTAATGTGAATTACATTACTGCATGATGACATTATCATGCAGCAAAGCCCTCCACCAATAGAAGGGGGACACACCATGCACACTAACTTTTATTATGCATTTGCACTAGTAATTCTTAATTCTCTCTCCTCTGCACTGTATTGACTAGATGTGTTTATAGTTCTTTTGTTTGTGCTCTATTTCATGACATTTGCATGATCATTGTAACTGTGATTTTAGTTTTCTTTGGTCTTTGTTTCAAAAGCTTTAACTTTTATCATGAATTCTCCAAGGATGGTGATTTACATTTGGTCATGAGTGTGTAACATTGTTCACACTTAGGCATTATTTTGTCTGTGACTTTTGGAGGCTTGTTGACTTTCATTATTGTTGCAACCATATTTCAGTGTGTTGTGGATCACCACATGCTTAATTGGCCTCTTAATTCCATCCTATCAGACAAATTTGTTTCTCAACAGATGGGAATGATCTGTTGGACTACTTCTTTCATCTGATTTACTTTGGATAGTACTTTACCATTCGTGAGATGACCATAACCGTACAATCTCTTTTTGAAATTCCTTCTAAGGTTTATTTTTTTTGTTATTTTTTGCTTCTGTTTTTTATTATTATTTTCATTTCTTATCTTACTACCCACTCTTCTTGGGGTTTATCTTGTTTTTTCTCTATTTTTTTTTCTCACACCCATCAGGTTTTACAGTTCTCATTCTCTTCCTTTACTGAAAGTTATTTTGCTTTTGGGGACTCTGGCTTCCCTAGAACCCCTCATACTGTTTTAGAAAACACTAATATGTCTTCAACTATAGACCTTCTGGATTTATGGTTTTCATCTTTTGAGTCCATTTTCCTCTTTGTGAGTATCTCCTTGGGGTACTGTCTTGGTGATTGAGCCCGGACTACTTTCTGCACTAGCTTTTCCTTGTATGATGCTTCAATTTTTTTTTGAGGGCAGGGCTTCTGATGTTTTGATGATATTCCTGCATTCCTTCCATTTCCATCGGCTCAAACCTCTCTATATTCTTTGGGCATGTTCCTGCCCTTACTGGTGGAACACCTGGTCATATTACACTCTGTCTCTTACACAGTTGTTTTTTGCATCAAACATCCAAGAGGCTTCTGTTCCACTCTCTATAGTATGACTATTTTCCCCTCCTCCTGCAGCTGGTGTCAGTCCAATGATGTCTTATGGTAGAGTTGAGTATGTTCTGAACATGCCCCATCCATGCTACACATATTGGCTCTTCAACCTCTTGTGTGAAAGTACTTGGATGGCCATGTTTTTTATTCATCCCATCCATGCTACACATAAAGGCTCTTCAACCTCTTGTGTGAAAGTACTTGAATGGCCATGTTCTTATTCAGCCCATCCCTGAAAACATGCGACTCGTTTTTTCTCTTCCTTCCTTCCTTCTTTCCTGGCAAAGAGTATTCCCTGGAAGACATGAGATTTGGTCTACCATGAGTATGCAGGGCTCAATTTTAATGATTGTCCATTCATCCAAGATGATTAAAAACTTCCTTGGACGATCAGCTTAAACTCTCGTTTTGTCCGCTGAATGATTAACACCCTGGAACAGATCCTGACTCAAAACAGCACCACAGTCTACTGTACACTTATCCATGCCCACACAACACACAAAATGGTGATTCTGATCCTCGTCCAAAATCATTGGTAAATTCCCTAACCAGGATAATTGAAAACTTGAACCCCACAAAAATACCTTTTTTTGTCCATTTTCTGGTTTAAAAAAGATTGTTCTTGGTACAATCCACCAAAAGGGAGCTGAAAATGTTAAGAAAAGTTTGCTTTTGTGATTGGCTAATAATTCTGTTTTAGTCACTGAACTTTCTGTCATGGACAAGCTGCACGTAAATTTTGTATGGAGTTCAACTGAGAGTGAATGGCTGTTTGTGGTGGCACAGTACAGTGTATACAGCTCAGTCACTTATATTACCACAAACGTTTTTTTTTTATTATTCTATATATACAAGTTACAGCTTTTACAGTAAGTAATATTTGTTTTTAAAACAGGCACAACATTTTGAGCACTGGTGAAATTATTCTTATTTACACAAGTTTTACCAGTAAAAGATGTTTAGTATTGAAATCAACATTCAACCGATGTAATAAAAAAAAAAATTAATATATTCATACATAATCAGTAAGTAAAGTTAAAAAGAAGCTGGACCACACATTCTATTATGCAATAGGCAGGCGGGAATTCACAATGAAAACAAACATCCATAACATGAATATTTAGTGAGATTAATTTCTAGTGTAGATGCTTACAACAATAAAACTAACATGGTTGTCTCAACTTCTTACCAATAAACGGTAGGAACTACAATGATCGAATCTACAAAACAAACTCAGAATTTTCATCATTAATCATCACAGTTGAAACACTGACCACCCCTTTCAGTTACGCAGGTATAGGCATAAGGTTATACAGACACAACCAATCGAGTCTAGAAAATACAGAAGACCTAGCTCTCATGAAAAAAGCGGGAAAATCCATGAATTAAACAGAACATAATAATAACTGCAAATAAACTTTTATAAAAGTTTAGACCAGTACAAAACCCAATAGCAATAAATAAATTAAGGCTAGCTTTGTCTCTATCCAGATCAATACAAACTATGAGTATGAATAACAGTACGTATCAGTGGTGTATGTGCAGTGCTCAAGCAATGTGTATATATTATGATATAGTAATATGTGTGAGAGTTCCGTCTAGTCTTACTACAGGCTGTACTTTATTGTAGTTGGTGGGCAGGCCAAGCTGGTTAGAATGAAAACATTGAATGTGATTGACCAAGGTTGCTGTTCTATGTAAAGGTTTTACAGATCATTTACTGTTTGTTTCTTTAAGATACTATGTAACATTAGCAAGGTTTGGGCTTATTTTTTTCCAATGTAACAAAACTTTCTGGGAAATGAGGCATCAAAATTTAATTGAATAAATTTGCAAAATTGCCAACTAAACATTATTTGTACTTTTTTGAAATAAATAAGATGCAAAAAAACCATCAAAATTCTAGTAATTGGGTCTTTTTTTAAGGGTCTTTGTACGTCAATATTGTTGTAATTGGATCTTTTTTGGAGGGTCTATGTTTTTTTTCAGACAGCATGGAAATTTCATTCAAATTAAGCCCTGGTGTGCCTCTGTAAAAATCCTGCCATTGGGTATTACACTCCATTGGTTTCCTTTAGGAACTTTCTGAAGGGAACTCGTATAGATAAATCTGTGCACCAGCCCCTCCACCACTTCAATGGGGTATGCTAGCTTAATTTTGTGAAGAGGTGTGTATCATCTCAGAAGTTAACATTTTCCTTACCTGAAAATATATTTCTAATAGATACTCGTCTCTGAAAACATCTTACCACCTATTCTTTTCACTTCTGGTGCGCTTTTATATTTCTTGCCTTATCAAAGAATGAAGATTCACAAGTGCAAATGCATAGAGGGAGATAGTGTACATGAAGGTGTGTTGCCCTCCTATTAATGGAAGGCATTATCATCATGCAGTAGTGCAATTCATATGAGATTAGGTGGGAGTTGCCTCAAGACTAGTGGCATGCCAATCTTCAAGGCAGTCATGCAGGGAAGATAGCTTAACTGTGTGTAAAGAGAAGTATCTCTTGGAAATATTATTTCAGGTAAGGAAAATGTTAACTTTTGGAATTTCTTCTTTAAATATGTTTAAGGTTCTTGTTAATATTTTTATGTGATGATAAATATTATTAATAAGAACAAACTTTTAAATTTCAACCTGGTTGTGTAAGCTGTGATGATCTAGTTCCACACCAAGTAAGACTAAATCATCAATAGCTTCGACTAGCTCACTAACAAGAAAAAAATAAATTCTGGGAACTGTTTATTAACACATAAAGATGGATTGCATAAAACAAGGGACATCCACATGTTGAGCAATGAATGTAATTAGGCATTGGTTGATCAGAAACTACATGGTACTGCCTGTAGAAGCAATAGTACCAAAAACTACTAACTCCCTCACCTCACTTCTTAATGGTTAAGTATGTATAGACTGCAATTCAGCATACATTGATGTCACATGCTTACATTTATTAAAAACACTATGATATAAGCCAGTCATCAATAAACACATTCTACAACCAATATCATGTTATATTATACACTGTAATTTGGTAGACCAGGCTTAGCAAAAATGATTATACAAAAGTTATTTGTAATAAAAAAATTTTGCAATGTAATGTGTGTGCTCTCTCTTTTAGGAACATTTGACATGTCAGTGGAGCACATGATCATGAACTGTTCACATATTAGTAGATCTGCCAGTCCTTCAAAACTATCTTTACACTTGGCCATGTCAGTCCACCCTGTGAAGTATCACCACAGATATGTCACAAGCTAAAATACAGTTTCTCTAGTGTCAGATTTGACTTCTCTGAACTTGCAGTGAAAATCATCTTCACTAAGTTCATAGAGTTTCAGCAAGGCCACATTTAATTTGTCATTGTCCATGGAATCTTCTGATGTCATGCCCGCATACACTTGTAGGCCTTTTCCAGTGAGAAGAGGGCTGAGACAGACTGTTCATTTGTCTTTGTCTTAGTTCTAACTTTGGGTGAATCTTTCATATCTCAGCAGGAAATCATCCATGTCATCCTCCTGTTCCTCAAATTTGGGCAGTTTGGATTGGCTAGCCTTCACCCCATTGTCATTCTTAGGTCCTTCATCTTTCTGTTGGGTGAGTTTGACAATCTCAGTTTGTGCTTTTATTCTCTCGATTTCCAGTCCCCGCTTTCTCTCCTTTTCTTGTTTCTCTCTTTGTGTTCTTCTTTATTTTCAGTTTCTCCTTTCTGTCATTTTCTTTTTGTGCTCTTATCTCTTATTTCCAGTCTGTCCTTTTCTTCTTTCTCAGTTTATGCTATTATTTTCTATATTTACAGACTCTCTTCTCTCTTCCTTTCTGTTTTTTCTCTTTGTGCTCAGATTTCCAGTTTCTTCTTTTTTCTTTCTCTCTTTGTTGATGTTCTCTCTCTGAGTCTTGTTGTTGTTTAACAAATTCTCTTAGATCATCATCTTTGAGCCCAAGTTGCTTGCCCCCTCTCTATCCACTTATCAAAGTCAGTTGACATGATTATATAGTGTGGTTGTGTCTTGTTCAATATTTTCACTACCACTACTGCTGTGCATATATATAGGCCTATTTCCCAGTTGTCTACTTTTTCTGCTGTTTACCACTGTAGATCCTAACTGGCTCACCACTGTCATGTTTTACATATGTATGGGCTGAAGTCTTTAGAGTAGGTGTCTGTGACTTGTTGGCAATAAATAAACAAATAGCACACAATCCACTTGTTTTAAAATGATATATTAAAACAAGTCAAACATATATACAAATGTTAGTTAGACTGTTGGTTATCACAGTTGTATCTAGAGATTCAAATAATTGTATCTTTTTTATTTAATCCCACACAGGTTGGTTCAGTTACTGTAGAACACAATTGATAAGATGAATTAATCTTTTCTACTCTGTTATTACATAAACAAAATATCAGGTTTTCAAATTAGATATTAAGATATTTTTAATTAAAGATTTGCTTGTGAATTTTTTCTTTCAGAATGTTGGCTATCCAACATGCACAGTAATTTTGACTTTAAGATTAAAAATACTTTTCTTTTTCTAAAAATTGTCAAATTTAATTTGCACAATCTTTATATCCTTCTAGGTAATGATCAAATGTTTTTTGAATAAAACTTTATTAATTTTGTTATTTTATCAGTGCTATCTCTGTACGGTGTTGGTTGATTTGACTGACCTCATAACCATCATAAAAAGTAGGAAATAAATCTAAATTACCTTTTTCTCGTTTTAGAATAACTGCAAATTGTAACAGGAAACCACAAATGTTCTTTCCAAATAGCTAAAATCTTGTAACAGTATACATTTATTTATATTTATTAATTTTTGTTTTATTGACCTTTGATCTATGTCTGACTAAAAATACCCTGACACAAGTTGAAAATTAGATTCGCATGTGCAGTTCACATTACTGCATGGATTAGCGTAATGCACAAGCTGCTGGATGTATACCAAATGAAGATTTTTCTTTCATTATCTTACCTAATAAGTATCTATTTTATTACATTTTAGTTACGTTTATAATAATAAATAGTGAAAACAAATGAAAAATATATAACTTCATAATTAAATATCAAACATTTTTATTTTCAATAAAGCTTTATATTTGATCTGTTATTTTCTTTACTGTAACATTATACTTTATTCTCCATGATGTAGGTAAGTAATCAAAGTATAATGAAAAAAAGGGTTGTAAATGCAAAATATAATGTATAGTATTCTTAGTATTGATTCCAAAATTTCAAAGTACTTATGGTCAGAGTTTACGCTTCTCACCTTTTCACACTTAATTTCTGTAGTTATTTTATTGCTAGCAGATGGCTTGGAAACTAGGAGAAACAATGGACAATGAAATTCCAAACTAAATTTTCTGAGAGTTTCTTTTAATTTTTTTATATCTATTTTC